CCCCCGTCGCCCCCACCCTGCCGCGCCGCGCCGCCCCGCGCCGCCCAGGCCGCAGCAGCTGCTGGGCTTCGTCCATGGCGCGCGCCAGCAGCTCCTGCGCCTGGGCGCGCTGCTGCACGACCCGCGCAAGCTGGCCGTCGCGCAGCGGGTGGCGGAGCAGGGCAGCGCGCTCGACGTCGCCGCGGCGCACGCGCGGGCGCTGCAGGCGGCGGCGGACGAGCTGTTCAAGGCCAACATGGACCTCCGGTTCAACCGCGTGCCGCTGCTGAACGTGCACGACGCCGCAGACGTGCTGGCCTCGGGTGCGCGCTCGTCCCCGGGGGTGGAGGGTGCAACACACCCACTTCATTGAAGCTTGCGCCTGGGTCGCGGTTTGCCAGCGCCGCCGCAAAGCGCATGCGGCTCTGCTCGTTCGTCTGCTTGCAGCGCCGCGTGCTGCACCGCTTGCGCCGCCAACCGCGGCATGTGGTGCGGGCGCCTCCGAGCGCAGGCACGTACAGCACGTTGCCGTCGCGGATCGAGGAGCATGCCGGGCCGGACCACTCAGCGCTGCCGCCGGAGCGCCAGCGGCAGCTGGAGAGGCAGCTAGACCACCTGTTATACGAGCACTTGCTCAAGGTGGGCGCGGCGGGGGCTGTTCAGCAAGGGGCGACAAGGCAGCGTTGGGCATGGCAGACTCGGTTGGCGTACTACCGTCCATCATGCAGCTGCATGCAGTCCTCAAGCATGCAGGTGCATCCAGTGACGCCTGACACGTGATACCTTGTGCCTGCAGCTGATGTATGGCTTGCACACTTGCTTGATTGTTGCAACTCACGCCTGTCAGGCCCAGCTGCCGGCCGCGCTGAGTGTCGTCCGGGTGTCGGGCGGCACGGCGGTGCTGCGGTGCGAGGGCCTCTTCGAGGTGCGCGTCAGCCTGCAGCAGCGGCCGTACCCGCCTCAGTGGGAGGCAGCCAAGCTCAAGGCAGCGGAGGCGAAGGCGGCAGCGGCAGCGGCGGCGGGCGATGCAGGTGCGGCGGGCGAAGCTGCGATGCATACGGCAGCGGCGGCGGCGGCAGCGGGGGTGGCGGCTGCTAAGCCCCCTTCTGGGGCTGAGCAGCAGCAGCAGCAGCATCAAGGGGAGCAAGCGCAGCAGCAGCAGCCGCCAGTGCCCGCCCCCGAGCTGCGGTGGCAGTGGTTGCTGCTGGATGCCGCGATCCTGCCCGGCGCCGCGCACCGCCCGCCGCTGCGCGAGCAGCAGCTGCAGCAGCTGCTGGGCCTGCTGCGCCAGCTGATGGGCGCGACGGCAGACGCGGCGGCCGTGGAAGCGCTCCGCCGCGAGTCGGCCGGCGCCGCGGCCGGCGGCGGCGCGCAGGACGCGTCGAAGGCGGCGAGCGGCGCGCTGCCGTCCGTGTCGGCGCGCAGCAGCGGCGGCGGCGGGGCGAGCTTGGAGGTTTCCGGCATCAGCAGCCTGGGTGGCGCGTCGGGCCTGCTGCCGGGCTTCGGCGACGACCCCAGCCACGGCCTGGGGCTCGAGGAGCTCCGGGCGGACGAGGTCGCCGCGCCGCTGCGCGCGCTGCATGGCGCGCTCCGCGACGTCGCGGCGCAGGTGCTGCTCGACTCTGTGCGCGCGTCCGCGGAGGCGCTGTCCGCGCCGGGCGCGCGGTGGGCCGGCCACCTGGTGCTGGCGCGCGCGCAGGTGCTGTCGCCGGGGCTGCGGCTGCACTACTGGGCCCAGACCCCTGTTGTGCTGCCAGGCGCGGCGGGCCGCGCGGGCGGTGGCGGCGCCGGCGGTTCCGCGGCGGCGACGAGCGGCGGGGACGGCGGCGGCGGCGGGGGCGGCGGCGCGAGCGGCACGAAGGGGCAGGACCCGGCGGCGGCGCTTGAAGGGGGCGCGGAGGCGGCCGCGTCGGCGCCGCTGCCCGCGCTGGAGATCGGGATCGCTGGGGACGGCACCGTACAGGTTTTGCACCTGCCGCCGCTGCGCGTGCCCGGAACGGGCGCCGCGCTGCCGCTGCGGCTGGACGCGCACCGCGCTGACCTGGAGGGCATGCTGCTGCGCGCCGCCGCGCTGACGGGCAACGCACAGCTGCAGCTGCTGCAGCTGCGCCTGTCCGCGCTCCTCGCGGCGCACGGCATGGCGCACGTGTGCGTGCTCCGCCTGCGGCCGGTGCACGGGCCGGGCGCGGCAGCGGCGGGCGTGGGCGCGTTTGCGGGCTTGCCGGCGGCGGGGGCGCTCGCGTTTTCGCGGCACGAGCTGGAGGTCCTGGTGGAGGGCGCGTCGCTGCTGCGGGTGCTGTACCAGCCGTGGAGCGGGCGGCTGCTGCTGCGGCCGGGCGACGCGGCGGGCGGGGACGACAACCTGGATGCCGTCATGCAGGAGGTGCGGTGGGGCGGGGCGGGGCCGGGCGCAGTGCGGGCGGGGCTGGCACCACGCAGTGGCAGCGTTGGACTCTTTTTGAGGAAGAGCTGCCGCGGCGGGACACGCCTGGGCGACCCTGCTGTTGCCCAGCTCTGGCTTCTCTTGCGGCCGACTGCCATTGCAACGATGACCTCTTCCTCACCCAATGCAGGAAGGACTGCACTCGCTGCAGCAGGCGGCGCTGCAGGCGCAGCAGCGGCAGCAGGACCCGCGTGCAGCTGCCGAGCAGCTGCTCAACGAGGCAGCGCGCCAGCTGGCGGTGACGGTGGCGGAGATGTGGCACCGCGCACGCATCAACCGCCTGCGCGCAGCCGCGCGCACGCTGTCGCTGCGGCTGCAGCAGTACGAGCTGCGGTACGCCGGCGGCGGGCCTCTCATACCGGCGCCCACACTTCCTCGGCAGCAGCAGCAGCAGCAGCTAGAGGTCGCCGACGATGCGGCCGCCACGCCCACTACAGCGACGGCGCAGGAGCAGAGGCAGCAGCAGCAGCAGCAGCGGCGGCAGCGGCAACATCACGCGCAGCGCCGGTACGTCAACCTGGCGTTCCCCGCGGCGCCGCTGCCGCCGTACCTGCACCACGCTGGCAGCGCCGCCGGCGCGCCCGGGGCGGCGGACGGCAGCGGCAGCGCGGCGTCCCTGAGCTTCGTGCTGGCCGTCCAGTTCCCCCCCTTGGACGAGCGGCGCTTCTGGCTGCTGGTCAGCACGCGGGACTCTCGCGGCCTGCCCGGGCCGGTCTTCGCTCGCCTGCCGGTGCCGGCAAGCGATCTAGGCGGGGGCGGGGCACATGTGCAGCAGCAGCAGCAGCAGCAGCAGCAGCAGCAGCAGGCGCAGGGGCGGCAGGCGCCGGGGGCGGCGGCGGCGGGCGCCGGGGCGAAGCATGTGGACGGGCTGGGGAAGCGGAAGCGCATCAGCGATGGCGGTGCACCTGAGCAGGAACCAGATCAGCAACAGCAGCTACAGGAACAGCAGCTGCAGGGGCAGCAGGGGCAGCAGAAGCAGCAACAGCAGCAGCAGGCACAGGTTAGAGCATCAGACGCAGGCGGTCACCCGACAGGGGCCTCGGCAGCACCGGCGGGCTTCGCTCTGGCGGCGGCGCCCGGGTGGCAGCAAGACGGGGAGATGGTGCGGGAGCTGTTCGCGGCCGCCGCCTGGTCGCGCCGGCGCATTACACACGAGCGCCTGCTGTTTGAGCTGCGTGCCCTGGGCGTCCCGTGCCTGGAGATACAGCCGCAGCAGCAGCACGGCAGCATCTCGTCGGCCGCGCCCGGCGGCGGCGGCGCGGCGCCGCCGGCGGGCGCGCTGCGGCTGCGGCTGGACGAGGCCTTGGGCGGGGAGAGACTCGGGGAGCGCTTGGCGCGCAAGGCCGGCGCAGCGCCGGCCGCGGTGGGCGTAGAGGAAGCCGTGCTGTGCGCGCGGGAAGGGGATGCGGGCGGCGCCGGCGAGTGGTCCATGCACGTGCGTGGGAACCTGTACGGCAGCTGCAACGTGGCCCCCGGCGCCGGCCTCGCGGCGGCAGCGGTCGGGCCGTGCTGCGGGCACGGCGGCGACGGCAGCGGCGGTGGCGGTGGCGGCGGCGGGAACGGCGACACGTGGGCGCGGTTCGATTTCAGCTTCCAACGGGGAGAGCACGCGCGCGACGCGCTGGTGCACCTGTTGCGCATGCTGCGCGTGCTGCGGCTGCTGTGCCGGCTGGAGGCGATGGCGCTCGGGCCTCAGCTGCTGCCAGTCTTGGCGCCTCCAGGCGCCGGCCCTGGCCCCGTTGCCCCGGGCGCGACTCCATCCCCGCAGCAGCAGCGGCCGGCAAAGAAGGCGAGGGTGGTGGGCGCGAGCGCCGGCGGAGCAGCCAACGGCGACGCCCATGCACCCCAGCCCGCTGCCAACGGCGGCGACCGTGCGCCCTCTTGCAACGGCGTCGCTGCCGCCGCCGACGGCGACGGGGAGGGCGGTGGGGACGGCGGCGGCGGCCTCTGGTGGCACTGGCCGGGCACGGGTACTGTGCGCCTTGTGGGCTACAGCAGCACGGCGGTGGTTTTGGAATGCGGGGAGCCACTGCCGGCGCCGCCCTCTGCGGCCGGCAACGGGGCCCCCGCCAGCATCGACGGCCCCGCCCACGTCGACGAGCCGGCGGCGCACGGCGGCGCCGGCGCTGGGGCAGGCAAGCCGCGGCAGCGGCTGCGCCTGATGCTCTCCTGGGCCGCCGCGGAGGGCGGCCTCGCCGCGCCAGCTCCCGCCCCGGCCGATCTGGCCAACGAGGCGT